AGGAAGAAAAAATATTTCAAAATTTATTAGTGAATATAAAATTTGTTTCTGTGAATAAACTTTATATCTCACGAATACATTTTCAAATATTTTTTTCAAGAGCCATTAAGAGCCAATTAACGGTTGTTTATTGCACCTAAAATATTACTGCAAAGGTATATTTAAGAAAATATATATAATAAAAATATATAATAAAAAATATAAATATAAAGAAGTATAAATATAAATTTACATATATACATTTATATAAATACTGTAAGAAATATAAATATGCACGTGTATAAATTGTATAAAGATTCATTCTTCATCATCACCGACAGTGTTTCTTATTGGCTGATTCCTTTTGCATCGATTAAATATCGGTAGAGTTCTCTACTGTTGAATTCCTCGTTCCAAATTTTAATTTATTCACGGGACGTGCGAAATCACCTTGCAGAATTTTTATATGGAATTATGTTTAAACAACTTTAGTGTAATTAATTGGGCAACATACCGTTGATTATTTTAGTGCAATGTAAAATAAAGTTCTTGTAATAGTAAATACTTTACAAGTGTATTATTCGGCGAATGGAAGTTCAAGTCACTTTCGCGTAATACTTTAGATAAAAGTGTCTGCATGTAAAGCGGATTGGAAGCCGATCGATGCGACTGCACACGCGGCTGCATTATGCAGCGGCGAATCGAACATACGATACGTTTATTAGGGTAGACAATTGCCGCGCGCGTGCTATTCTCGCCTTCGTCCGTCCGCGACGAAGTTTGAAAAGCGGGCAACGCGGTCGCGTATCGACGAAGAGGAGAGTATTCGTCGATAGAAGCACATCTCCGCGCAGTATCATCACCACCTGAGCGGCCGGAGATCCGCCGGGGGAGTTTTTCAAACGAGACGAGAGAAGGAAGGAAGCCGGTTAGCGTCGCGACGTTAACTCGCCGGGGAAAGCGTGAAAGCCGCGCTGACCGTGATTTCCAGCGAATCCACTGTCGCGTCGTATCATGATCTTAATTAATTGGAAATCGAAATGTTCTCTTCACATTCTCCGCTTTTCCGCGACACATTGTCGGTCGAAATTTTCGCACTACAGAAAGACCACTCGAGAGAAAAGGTTCCGTCTTTCCGCGACGCGTAACTGCATTGCCCGCCGCAGTGAAGACGAAAATATTATTTAACATTCTTTTTTCGCTGAATTTCACAATGAATCAGTATCAAATAGGAGAAAGTTTGTTTTATAATAAATTTAAATTTCAAATTTTAGTAACTTTCCGAAAAAAAAAACTTGCGTTCTCGGAAGTTCTTATCGAATTAAAAGTGTTGCAATATTTTCGCTGCTGCTCAGATAAATTTGCACTTGCAACAATCGACTGAGAGACCTTTACAATTCTTGTATCATATTTGAGGAGACAATTATTTGTTTTTAATTAATCATTAAATTTATATCATTCGATGATTACAATTTTTTATTACATTGGTGCAGCAACAAATTTGAAGTTGCTCTCAAATTTTCATGTCGTTTCTTGACATATTGCCATGTGCAAAGTTGACATCATCAGCTGGGTGTCTGGACTTAAATGTAGCAACGGACGTATGCAGAAACGTTGTGCGATGTAAACTCTACCTGCATATAAGTGTTACTACACTTAAGTCCAGATACCCAGCATAAAACTTCATTTAACCTTTTCAGAATTATGGAATTATATGCATCTGACGAATTTCTTCAGCTCATACTATCAACACAAGCAACAGTTTTCAACTGTTGCGGTGGGCATTTATATCCATATATATATATGTGTGTGTGTGTGTGTGTGTAATTTTTTTTAATGACCTCAGCGTCGGTAATGAACAAGTTTTCATTTATCTTGGTCCATTATATCGATCTTTCAAGAAGTTACTTCTTCCACCGATTGCCTTATGACAGTTCAAAGTATCCCGTTCTCATTGATCGTTTGGCTTCGAAATACTTTGCGCTCAGAAGGTTAATGATGTGCTTTAGCATTCATTATATGAGGTCATCGGATGCGGTAGACATGATTGAATATCGTCTGCTTGCATATAAAACGTGAATAATACATCCTTCGTGTGTCATTGCGTAATTCAATACGAAGTGAAGTTTACGCACATCTGTCTATCTGGGTGACTACACGCGCCTTTTTTTCCCCGACAAGAATGTCAGTGGAAGGTGGGAGAGAATAAAATCGACGACGTGTGCCAAGTATCGTCGCGAGGTATTCGACGAAGAATCGGCTGAGGTCCCGGCCATGAGCGGAAGTTTACAACGACGGCGTATCCGTCCGTTGTCGGCGATCGGCACGCATCCCGATGCAGTTCACGTACGCGCTATTTCGCGATACGACGACAAGTCACCGGCCCGTTATCGGCCACGTTCTCCCCCTTTCGCGTTCGACGTTTCGAGCGATTCTCGCGCGGTCGTAACTTCGATAGCGCCGGGCTGTAAAAATGATATACATGCGCCGCGGGACTCGCTGCCACGGCGATCTCTGATGGCCATGCCACGGCCCTGCCGTGAAATTATACTCATGGTTCCGGATCTTTGTTCCACGCTGGCCCATAGAGAAAGAGAGAGAGAGAGAGAAGAGAGAGAAAGAAAGGGAGGGAGGGAGAGAGAAATAGGTTGCTACCGTTGGCGTAATCACCTTTTTGCAACGATAAAGATATATATATATATATATATTCATTTTGCGCGACGGGATGCCAAATCGACGATCACTCGCTGTGACAACAAGCCCCCGATCGGATGCTCAGCGTTCTTGATCTCAGCATCCTGAATTTAGACATCGTTACATCTCCGCCTTGCGCATCAAACATGCCAGTTAATTCGCTCAGACATCATTCGTGCACGTGCTAGTTGCAAATTTCGTTGAAATCCCGGGAAAGTCGACTCGTCATGTTACAGAAACAAACGTCGGATTCGCGTGAACGCGTACCGTTGGCGCTTTCTACTCCATGGAAACTTAAATCGCTTGTAAGGACTTAACGAGCTGTAAGGCGCTAGGTGATACGTGGCTTACACACACTGATCACAATGTCGGGTAGATGGTCGACTTCGTTCTTGAAATTTTTCCCGGCTTTTCGGCCACGCATGAAAACCATATTTAAACAATACTATCCCGACTTGACCATAACTTTATAGCTGCGACGTATTTCCTAAGATCTTATACGTCCCATAATTCTCAGAAAACTCTGCGCATCTTATGTTATTTCGGACCTGACACGAAGAATCTCTTAATGTATCTACCTGAAGCGTTGATCCTTTCCCTTCCTTTAATACAGCTGAACGCTTTGCTCGGAAAATTGAGAAATAAAAAACCCTATTGTCTTCACTAATATAATTATTTCATTCAATGAGTGAATTATTTAATTTTTTACTTTGAAGGCAATGGGTTGTTTTCTTATTTCATTGTTTTTTTGTCTTATTTCTTATCTCTATATTTTATCTCTATAACCCACAAGTTTTATATATATACAAAGTGTCACGTAACGCATATATTTGCTTGTATACAGGTAGAATTTGTCTGAAGGAAAAAGTCCTGCATTATTTTACAAGTTACGATAATTATTGACATATTAATTAAAGAAAATTAGCAAATAAATATGCGTAGTGCAGTGGGACAAAATTTTTAGACAAAACAACAATATTTATTTGCCAAATTCTTATCATTAATACTTAAAAAATTATCATAATTGTCTACAAAATAATATAAAACTTATTCGCATTCAATCTGGTGAATTTATATTATACTAAAATGAAAATGGTCTTGCAATTATAGCGAAAATGCTCTCTCTCTCTCTCTCTCTCTCTAGCAGATGCAAAAAACAGCAATAAATTTTAACTGTATATATTTCGAATTCTATCTGGATCAGCAAAACATTTTTTTATGAGTATAGAACTCATCAAGCTAAAGGGAAAGATCTCATGCCATTTTGCAAACTACCATGCCAATTATTGAGATATTAATTAAAGAAAATTTGTGCAAATGAGTGCGTGTGATGTGATGGGACGAACTCTTTGAATGACGTTTCATCCAAGTGTCTGAATCTATTAATAATCTCTTGGCAACGACGGTCGGCGGTGATGCTGGACCACACGCCTCCGCTGCCCGGCATTACATTTCGTCGCGAAGCTCGATTTGCGCCACTTTCGGGACGCGTACAGCACGAAATACCACCACTGCCACCACTGCCACCGCTACTAATAACCGCCGTTGCTTGCACACGGTGCGCCGAGCTCCGAGAAATCGTAACTTGGCGTGTTTATCACCGGCGAGCCGTGCACGGCCGGCGGCGTTAGCGCGGCGAGGAACGACTTCTCTTGCGTGGGGCGTTAAAATCGTATGGGATTTTTAAACCCTACGGCGAACCGGCAAGAGAGGACCGCAGAGGAAGGGCCTCTCCCTCCACCCCCCGTGGCGACCCTCCACCGTCACCGACTCGCTCATCTCCACCCACGTCATCGCGAGCTTCGTGGAAAATGACGACCGTGAAACGGTCGCACGCAGTGCCCCATGAGCTCGGTGTGGCAATTAAAGAACTTATCCAGAACGGCTCTTTTGCACTTTTTCTTTTACCGAGATGAAACGCGCTCCCGGAAGTGTGGGAGAGCCTTCCTCGAGGTCTCTATATTTTTGCTACGGGCAAGCAAAACGAGATAATAGATGAGCAACATTCGAATGTGTGATGGCCAGATTTAACGGGTTAGATTTTTTTTACTTTCCTCTTTTTGTGTTTCTTTTTGTGCAACAGGAAGTTCTGCGTTGAGTCCTCTCGAGAGGACCCTAAAGCGTGATTAAAGATGGCCACCGAGCTTCGCCGATTCGGAGGAGGGATTCGCGTCTCTGCGGCATTTCAAATTCGAATTCGCGAGATGTACGGTAAATTGCGAGGGCAAAGGCCGGCGATAAAAATCGCCGTAAGAATTCGATGAGATTTGGAGAAAGGGCCAAGGACGGACGGACGGGCATGCGTAGGACTCTTTTCTGGTCCTTACCTTCTGCGCTCCCTGCCTCCTCCTTATTCTCCTTGTAGAGGGCCAAGAGTTCGCGGTGGGGCCGTTCATCAGAGGCAACTTGTCACGCCGCTGGGCATCGGGCATAAATTCCACTCCGTAATGTGACAGGTCCTCGCTCCTACCCCCGAGAAAACCGTCCTACGGCCTTGCGCTACCATCTACCGGGTGTGCTGGAACTCTTTTCCGTTCCGGTTTCGTGCTGGCTGTTGAATAGGTCAAGGGATACCGACGGTGTTTGTCTGCGCAACAATATGTCAAAGTCACTAATGTTCAGGTCAGAAGAGAAAACAGTCTTCTTTTTTATCGAACACACTTCTTCTAATATTCATCTGATTAATTGTCACTACGAGTGATACGCGGAGAGAATATTGTAATAAAAATTACAATATAATTTTAATAGTCCGAGAATAGACTGGCACTATTACGAAAATTATAATACAACATAGTACAAATTTACCATAAATATGAGAATTTTTACTATATTTATAATAATTTTTACTATGTTCATGGTCATTTTTATTATGTTTTATATTATAATTTTCAATGTAGTTTGTTGGGATAAATTATAAGGATTGGGAAAATTACTTTTGGAAAGAGTGACTACACGGAGGGAATATTATAACGTTTTCCATGTAAATTCTTTTCAAATTTATGTTTCTGATAGTCTAGGAATAGATTACTACAAAGAAATTTGTGAATAATCATGCGAAATATGGTATATGAGTTATAGTGGCGACATTTGCTGTTATATGCTTTTACATTAGATATATCTTGCTAAACAATATAGTGAATTTTGCCAGAAACATAGCAAGTGCTTTAATAACACATTTCCTAAAATATAAGTAAAATATAAAATGAAAGGATGTTAAAGTGAATTACTGCAGAATGTTACTACAAAAAGCAATAGTAACAGCAATTTTTACCATAAACTTCTCTCCGTATAGTTACCATTATTGTTTCTCAAAAGATAATGAGTCTTTACACTTTTACTTTTAAAATTCGCTTCTGTCTATTTCATATACACGTAAATTACATATGCAAAGTAACGATTATATTAGTTACCATTGCCGCTACTAATGAAAAAAATAATATCCTTATGGAGTTGTTACTGAAAAGAAGTAACTTGTAATGACGTTGCAAATAACTTCCGAACACTGTAAATTATAGGGTCACAGAGGAATGGCACACAGGCCCACAGAGAAGTGCACGGAGAAATTGAATAAATAAAAGTGATTTATAACGGACTGTTGCTTCGTCGATCGTGAGACGAGATGATAGTGGGACAACATTACGAAATCGTAAAACAATTATTCGAAGTGCGTAGATGACATTGCCACGCCACATCACGACTCCATAACGACAACGTTGTCGGCTTCCATCAGGAAGGATGGATCAGTGAGATCGACCGACTAGTCACGACGCTTCCACGCTTTCCGCCGGAAGCCGATAGCGATCGTTACGATGTTCATCGCGGTGCAACGCGGATACGTGTAAACAGGCGACGACGCGAACCACGTTCGCTACGCGCGACACGTGTCAATGCAGCAATGCGCGCACGTCAAAGTCAAGCGCGGCACGACGAAGTGAGGGTGGAATCTGCCTGCGAACGTGCGCACTTTTAGTTCATTGCATTGGCAAAGAATATAAAATTTTGAGCATTTCAAAGCGTATCTCAACAGATCTCTATTTACTCTCTAAATTTCTTGGAATAGAAAACGAGTGAAAAACGGTAGTGATTTCAGTAGGAGCGACAGTGCAAATACTGCCACTCGAAATCGCAAGAGTGAAGTCAGATAGACTTTCGTGATGTGAAACAATCGATGAGGATAACTTTGCAATTTATTAAGTAATATTTATAGAGCAAATATGCTATATTGAGTCAATAATTAAATGTGCATCATGCAGTAATGTAAATTTTTTGTTATGTCGATGCAGCTATAAGTTTACTGAAAATCACACTCGGTACTTTCACATTACATTTGATTGCTTTCAGCAAAATTGATCATTCTTTTCGTATTCTTATTTCATCTTTCTATATGGTAAATATCAGTGTTATGTAAACTATTTATAAGGGATATATTCTTTACAAATCAACCAAGATAAAACTGCAAAATTTACATACACTTGCCTGGGTACCCAGATAGATTTTCATGATTACAATAACAATCATGATCACGATAACAATCAATGATGGAAAAAAAAACTTTATGATTTTTTAAATCACATTTATAGAGTAAATATGACTATATTGAATTAATAATAAAATTTATATCCTATATTAATGTAAATTTTTGTTATATTGAATAAAGCAACAGATTTATTAAAAGTAACATTTAGATTTTTACATCACATTTTACATGATATATTGTTTACAGCGAATTTTGATAATTTCTATCGTATTGTTATTTTGTCATTGTGTGTTAAATACTGAACCACTCATATGGAATGAAATTTTTACAAATTAACTAGTAAAGTTGCTGTCAGATTTATATATAGGAATTTTCTTAGTTGTGATTACGTACAATTATTTATCCAAGAATATTTCATTTTAGCTTAGAGCAGAGAACTCTGTTTTTATGTATGGGCGAATATTTCAATCGATTAGAATGAATATGATCCTGTGACGATCATTTGCCCTTCAGTTCCGAGAAAAAATATACGATTCAAAGTGGAAAATTTAAATGACACGACGATTACTCTGTACTTTCTGAGCAAAATTACACTTCAAGAAATTTGAAGAGCAAATATTTTGAAGACAGTGTTATACTACGTATTTCTACGCCTCGAGTGCCTCCATGATAACATAAAATTGAATTAAATTTTAGGAATTAAACTTTAGAAGTAAACTTTTTGGCGCGGGATTAAAGTATCAGTGTCAAAGCCCGACTTCGAAAGGCAATTCGAGGACAATATTTCATAGGCTGAAATCACTATCGTATCGACTATTCGTGTCATCCCCAAGTAGACAAGTATACGTAAATTTGGCAGCAACTTTACCACTTAATTTGTAAAGATCGTATCCCTTACAAGTGTTGCGCATGACATTAATATCTAACACACAAAGTAACGAAATAAAAATACTAAAGATAGAAACACTAAAAGAATTTACCAAAATTTGCTCGGAGCAAATACATCATGTAGAATAAAGTATGAAAGTCTGAGTGTAACTTTCGGTAAGAGAGAGAGAGAGAGAGAAAGAGTTTGTCGCTGCATCAATACAACAAGAAACTTACATTACTGTGTGATGTGAATTTATTGGTCGATTCAATCAAAGTATATTATCATCATCAATGTAACGAAAAGAATTTTGTAAAGTATCCGTCATCGACTGTCTCGTGATGATCACGAAAGTCTATCTGGGATATCATTCACGAGTGTGGGTCACGCGATGCGACACGCCGATATAGGCGCGCGTCTCGCGTTCACGGACGCGTCACAAGAGATGTATGTGCTCGCGCGTGCAAAACACGGGTGGAATTTGTGCACACGTGCACAACACGGAGCGGCAAGAGGAAGAGTAGAATGCGAGGGAGCGGGAGGAGGGAGGGTTTATGTTGGGTTGGGTCGCGCGAGAGAGCACGGAAGGTACCGGTAGCACCCGGTACCGGGCGGCAAAAGCGACTTAATGTCCCCATTTGTCCCGTGCGCTCTCCGGAGGCGATTCATCCTCGCCCCTTTTGTGCGCCCGCGCCCGGGGCCTCTCCTCCGTACGTACCCATACAAACGACATCGCCGTATCACCTGACCCCCCTGAAACAGTAACTCGGAAGAAATTAACCGACCGGACTCGCCACCGCTCTCGCCCTGTCTCTCTTTCTCTCTCTTTTTTTGCGGTCTCACCAAATGAATTCGTTCGAGACGGGAGACAGAGAGAAGTCCCCTTGTTTTCACTGTCTTCCTCATTCGTTTCTTTTTCATTTTGTTTTGTTTTCTTTTCTTTTTTTTTTTTTCTTAAGAGAATTCCATACTCCAAAACTTTGCCGACGAAACACTGACCTTTTTCTGCAAAGTTTACGTCGTATTGGTTGCACGGAATTATAAATGTTTCTACACAATGAAAATACGTGCAAGAATTAGTCGGAGCATTGCTCAATATAGGATGGAAATAATACAAAAATTTTAAATTGACATCTCAAACTGTCAGTTAGCATAAATATTTGTCTGATACAAAAGTTCTGCAACTTGTATATTTCGAACGTGTGTTTGCTCCGTTCAAAAATGCCAAAGAACATTGTTGTTGTACTTATGCAAGCGTTTTTACAAGCCTAAAAATATGCGAAAAGTTTGCAGAAAGATTTTTGTATATACATGATTAGCTTTTTCGCTAAATATAATAAAACAGAGCAGACATTTATATAAGATTTATATGTACAAGAAATAGAAGAGAAGATAGGATAATCATGTTAGTGAAGATCAATATGTACAAGATATGTGAAGATTTAAATGTACAAGAAATAGAAGAGAAGATAGGATAGTCGCGTTAGTGAAGATCGCTTCTACGTTATCGACATTTCTAGAATTCGTCATCCATTTTAGCTTCTCCTTAAAACTCCTGAGTATTCCCCGCGGGCATGTTGAGTCGTCATAAGCGAGAAACGACAGCCTGAAAATTCTTGCGTATCATTTCCAAATAAAAATTCCTAGACAGATAAGTGTACAAAAATTTAACAGCGAATTTACTAATCGATTTATAAAGGTTGCATCCCTTATAGTTCTTAGTAGTTCACATGACACTCATATTTCTATCACATAGAATAAAGAAATAAAAATACGAAAAGAATAATCAAAATTTGTTCAAAGCAATATATCGTGCAGAATGTAATAAGAAAATTTGAGTATAACTTTCAGTGAATTTGTTACTGCATCAATACGACAAAGTTTATATTATTATATGATGGAAATTTAATGATTAAATTTATATAGCATATTTGTCTCATAAATGTGATTTAAAAAATTATAGTTTCCATCATCAATTATCTCATGTCATTGACAAATATGAAAGTTTACCTAGGGATATTTGTATAAATGAGTACTTTAGGTTACTTGAATATATCTGTAAAATGCTCAGAAAACTGTCTTTTTCCTTGACAGTCAATAAATAGCCGTAAAATGAACATGACAAAATCATGAGGAAAGATAGGTTACAGAAGAAAGTTGCCTGTCACATTCATTTTATTTATTAACTGTCAATGGAAACGATAGTTTTCTGAACATCTTACAAATGTGCTCTAGCGACCTG